AAAATTTTAAAACAAAGGACAATATGGACTAAGTTTTCATAAAAATGGGAGAATAGAAGAAACTTTCAGTGCATAAAGCTGATAATGGTTAATATCAAGGATATGTAAGAAACTACTTCAAATTAAGAATAAGACATGAAAGTCAATAATTTTTAAAAGCCCTTGAAAATAACAAGTATTAGCAAGGAAGTGGAGAAATCTTTGTACATTGCTGGAGGGACTATGAAATGGTGCACCATTGTGTAAAACAATTTGACATTCCTTAGAAAGCTAAACACAGAATTACTATATGCCCTAGCAATTCTACTCCTAGGTTAATACCCCAAACAGTTGAGAAGCAGGTATTCAAACAAATACTTGTACACATATGTTCATAGCAGCACTAGTCACTATTCATAGGAGTCAAAAGGTGGACATATCCATCAATGGATGAATGAATAATCTACACTAAAAAAAGAGAAACATGAAAATTACCATCAGCTGAAACCGGTTGGCTCAGTGGTAGAGCGTCTGTCTGCGGACTGCAAGGTCCGAGGTTCGATTCCGGTCAAGGGCATGTACCTTGGTTGTGGGCACATCCCCGGTAGGGGGTGTGCAAGAGGCAGCTGGTTGATGTTTCTCTCTCGTCGACATTTCTAGCTCTCTATCACTCTCTCCTACTCTCTGTAAAAAATCAATAAAATATATTTTTTTTAAAAAGAAAAAGAAATGCTAAAAAAAAAAAAAAAAAAAAGAAAAAAAAAAGAAAAGAAAATTACCATCATTCCATTACGCTACCAGCCCATTAAGAGTATGAAAATTAAACTGAAAACATGGTGGCAGCTCAGCCCCTCCCCCCTTCGCCACTACTTGGGGCCTGTGGGGGTCGGAGAAGTGGGGTGCCAGCGCTTGAAGCTAGCTGTAGCCCTGTAGACAAAGAAGCCACCTGCTGCCGGGACCGGTTTGGCTCAATGGATAGTGTGTCGGCTTGGGGACTGAAGGGTCCCGGGTTCGATTCCGGTCAAGGGCATGTACCTTGGTTGCGGGCATATCCCCAGTAGGGGGTGTGCAAGAGGCAGCTGATTGATGATTCTCTCTCATCGATGTTTCTAACTCTGTATCTCTCTCCCTTCCTCTCTGTACAAAATCAATAAAATATATTAAAAAAAAAAAAAAAAAAAAGCCACCTGCCCTGTGAACCCAGCCACAGGCAGCAGCAGAAGCCTCACATCTGCCTGCTCCACATCCTGAGTGAGACGGAGAAACTGGGCTCCTGAGGCTGGGTGCAGTCTGAGAGATGAAGACGCAGCTTGCCCCACGATCCCAGGCCATAGCTAGCTGGAGAAGTAGCCCACACTGCATCCCAGGGAAGACAGAGAAGCCGCCCATCCCATGGTCCTGGGCATCAGCACTTGTGGCTACAGCCCAGGCAAAGCCACCTGCCCACCATCCCCTGCGACTGCAGCCAGCCTGGGTGCCTATGGCTGACCAGAGGGAGGGAAGCCTGGATCCCGGATTCGGGGCCCAGGCTGAGGTGGTTAGGGGCAATCAAGCCAGCAGGGGAACAGTTAGGGACAATCAGGTAGGTAGGCAGAATTAAGGGCAATCAGGCAGGCAGGTGAGCAGTTAGGAGCCAACAGTTCTGGATTATGAGAGGGATGTCCGACTGCCGGTTATCCCGAGGGGTCCCAGATTGGAGAGGGTGCAGGCCGAGCGAGGGACTTCCTCCCATCCCCCATGCACGAATTTTGTGCACCAGGCCACTAGTTAAAAATATGACATTCATACAATGGAATGTTATTTGTGCATATAAAGGAATAAAGTACTAATACATGCTACAATGTAAATTGTTATGCTAAGTTACAGAAGCCAGAAACAGTTACAGAAGATGTTCACTGCAGTACTGTGATTGGTGATGAAGAGTTGTAGGCAATCTAGGGATCCATCATTGGGATAAATGGAGAAGCAAAGAGTAGTGGCTCTCCATGGGATATTGTAGTGCAGTTAAAAGTAGTAAATGTGATGTACACATGGATACTAGGAAAGGTCTTCCTAATATAGTCTTGAGATTAAAAAGTAAGATATAAGATATAGGGAGAACTAATCGTGGAAAGACCATGTTTGAATTGGTTTTAATTTTCTTTCTTTTAAAAAAAAAATAAATCTTTATTGTTCAGATTATTACAGGTGTTCCTCTTTCCCCCTTCTTCCCCCATACCTCCCCTCCACCTGATTCCCAACTCCACCCCATGCCATTACCCTGCCCCTGTCTTCATCCATAGGTGTAAGATTTTTGTCCAATCTCTTCCTCACCCCTCAGACTCCCTTCCCCCTGAGAATTGTTAATCCAATCCCTTTCTGTGTCCCTGATTCTATTACGTTCACCAGTCCATTGATTTTTTCCTTATGGCAACAGTGAGGCTGCTGTCTGGACTCTATCTATTCCCTGGGCTCTTAGATTAAAATCATGCCTAACTGCAAATAATGAAGAAGAAAGCTAAAAACAAACAATTATTATTATTATTATTATTATTTAAAAGCAGCCTCTCACAACTAATAAGCAACTTATCACTTGTGTCTAAGCTAATTCCAAGCTCCTTACCCTGTCACCCTCACATGAAAGAGTGTTATTTCTTCAGCAGATACACACACCCCTTAGCAGAAGCTGGCTGAGAACATCCTGGAATTTCACATTTTCCAATTTCAAAGATGCAGCAAAAACAGTGTACATATAGACGAAGGTCTATATACAACTGGTGCTAAAACTGCATAGCCTAGAGTTTAGAAGTATTGAAAGACACAATCTTTCCATCCCATTTAGCCACTGAGAATTTCATAGTCTTAAACAACAGTTTTGCATTTTGGGAAGTGAATTATTCCTAATATATGGTGACAGGAGAAGATTTGACTTTGGGTGGTGGGCACATGGTACAATATATAAATCTTTTAACATAGAAACCCACACCTGAAACCTATATGATCATGTTGACCAATGTCACCCCAATACATTGAAATTTTTAAAAAGGAAAAGAGCCTGACTGGTTTGGCTCAGCGAATAGAGCGTCAGCCTGCGGACTGAAGGGTCCGGGTTCGATTCCGGTCAAGGGCAGGTACCTTGGTTGTGGGCACATCCTCAGTGGGGGGGGTGTAGGAGGCAGTGGGGGGGGGTGCAGGAGGCAGTTTCTCTCTCATTGATATTTCTAGCTCTCTATCCCTCTCCCTTCCTCATTGTAAAAACCAATAAAATATATTTTCCAAAAATAAAAAAAAGGAAAAGAAAATTATACTGGCTTCAGGAAGTACTGAAAACTGTCTTGGAAAATTTTTCTTGTACAACCAGTGGTCAAACATGCTACATGAGTGGTAAACCTGCAAATGTACCCACCCGTGCTCTGACCACCTCTGGATAATCCTGAGCTGTACTTCCTCCCTTGCCGCCACAGCCACCTGACCATCTTTCTTCTCCTCCACCATCACCTGCACCCTCTCCACCCCCTTCTCTGTCTCTACCTCCACCACCAGTAGCACCTTTGCTGGTCAGAAAATCCGATCTCACGAAAGCACTATAGGCTGAACCATAAAAAAGGTGGACCCATGCAGATAAGAAAGATCTACTGACTGTGAAATTAAAGAAAACATGGAGTTTGATGAAAGAGTGAAGCTTCTACCATCACCTAAGAACAGAATCCACTAGTTACTGTCTCTGACCTGCATTGTGTTACCCTGAAGCCCAGGTTCCAAATGTTATCAACTTGAGTTACAAATGTCTTAATTATTCCTGTAAAAGTCAAATTGACCTGTGGAAGCTACTTAGAAAAGTCTATGTAGAGAGGAGGCCAGATGGGACCCCAATTACCAATAAAGGAAATATGGAAACAGGAATTATATTGATCTCACAAATGCTGTTTAAAGCCTCTTTTGCCTCCCCAGTTAGCTTCTCCATTTTCTCTGCTCCCTTCCAAGTGCTCAATGTATGCCATTAGCATTTGCCAGATTGATTTTAATATAAAATCATGTTTTAATTTTAATTTATATTTTTAAATTATATTTATTTATCTTGATGTCTGTTTCTGGCTTTTACCCACTTCTCTACTGAAGGAGCATCTCTTCAACTTTTTATTCCTAGAATAGCACATGGTAGATGCTCAGCAAATGCTGTTAAATAAGAGAATATTTAATTAGACTGAAGGAATTACATAGCTTACAGTAGAAAATAAATTCTACAACTTTTTAAAAAGGTAGTTTTTAAAAATATAAGAAATTTTCAAGTACACAGGCAAAAATATTACAAAAATTTCTAAGCAGAAATTTTCTATAGCCTGTTGTAATAAATGGAGATTATTTTCAAACAAATAATGTCTTTAAAAATAGTTTCTTTTCATTTGAATAGAGTATGCATAGTTTCTAAAATTTGTTTTACATTATGCTTTTCTCTAGCAAAACTTAGGCTCACAAATTATAAGAATTATACATATTCTGAATCAGTAAAGAACAAATTAATTATAATGGTATTACTACCACTGCTGGTTACCATTTAGTGGAAACATGTTGAATAAAATAACAGATTAATATTCTTTTATAAAAATGGAGACATTTGTTCAACTCTGTTGCTGCTTTATTCCACCTTACCAATCTTAGCACTATTACTCTGAACTCTTTTTATTTAGATGATTCACGGCATTTTACCAGGCAATCTTGTTCACAGGTGTTATGTTAATATCACTTGTCATTTGCTGAACACTTGAGCTTAGGTCTGGTACTCTGTGAATGTGCGCCTAGTTACTATTTCTGCTCTCAAAAAGATAACCGTCCCATTGCAGAAATAAGATGCAAACACACAAAGTAACTAGGAAATAACTCAAGGCACCGTTCCTGTGGCACAGCTGCTACATGGAACGGAAGGTGAGGGTGGTCAGGGGAGGCCGCAGAGAAGGCACTCGAGTGGGGTCTGGACGTTCAGGGAGGATGTGCGCTCCCGGGGAGAAGGGCCAAGGCACCTGCCTGCCTGGGACCCAGCCTACCTGAGATTTTCTCCATCTCTTCCAGGATCTTTTCCAAGTCTTTATTCAGGTCTGACAGCATTCTCAGCATGTTGTCGCAGTTTCTTTCCCCAGGGTCAGAGTCAGCCATCTAGGCCGTGCACAGAAAAAAGACGCAGGAGACAGACTGGGGTGAGGTGAGGAGATGGGGTGAGGTGAGGAGACGGGGTGAGGGGTGAGGGGTCAAATGAGACTGGGGTGAGAGGTGAGGGGTTAAATGAGACGGGTGAGAGGTGAGAGGTGAGGGGTTAAATGAGACTGGGGTGAGAGGTGAGGGGTTAAATGAGACTTGGGGTGAGAGGTGAGGAGACTGGGTGAGGGGTGAGGGGTCAAATGAGTCTGGGGTGAGAGGTGAGGGGTCAAATGAGACGGGTGAGAGGTGAGGGGTCAAATGAGACTGGGGTGAGAGGTGAGGAGACAGCGGTGACGGGACTGGGGTGACGGGTCGGGTGAGGAGACCGGACGAGGGCCGCGGGGGTGAGGGGTGAGGGGTGAGGGCTCCTTGATGCGGGGGGCACTGCCGGGGTCTGGGAGTGGCCGGCACAAGGACGTCAGAACCACTCACCTCCTGCTCCGCCAGGGCGCGGCTCTGTCAGCTACGCCGCCCTCGCCTGGGCCAGGGGCCTGAGGAGGCGCTGCCGGAAGACCCGCCCCTTTCCGTTACCAGGCCCCGCCCCCCGGAGCTAGCCTCTTGTTCTCATTGGCTAATATTCTGGAGAGGAAGGGGCAGAGCCTCTAGCACATGGCTGCGCTTACCAGGCTGCGCCTGAGTTCCAGCCTCGAGGTCTCATTGGCTGTGTCCAGAGCAGAAGGGGCAGGGCCACCGGAGGCTGGTCCCTCAGGCACGTGAGTCTTGCATGGTCTGGTGGAGGAGGGGCTAACGTGGGGGAGGGGGGAGGGGCAAGGAGAGAGCGCTTCCGGTCCTGACAGCTGTGTTCCTCCTCTTGGCTCTTTGAGGGTAAGATCGTGGGCGGCCCTGTTAGCTTGACTGTCATGTTGGCAGTGTCCAGGACAGCCCTTGGCACAGCAGGCGCTGATAAACGTTTGTGGAATGAATTGCTAATGCCTGAGTATTTACAGTCTTCACATCTACCTATCATCATTGTTGCATCTGTCTTAACAGACGAGGAAGCTGGGGCTCAGGGAGATGAGGTGGGCAGGACTCAAGTACTATCGTGTTTCCCCGAAAATAAGACATCCTCTGAAAATAAGACCTACTTACAGGTTTCCTTCTGAGTGAAATATAAGGCATCCCCCCGAAAATAAGGGCCCCCCTAGGCTAAACATGAGAGATTTGGTCCACTGATTCTGAAAGAAATGGAGTCACAAGAAATTCACCAGGAAATTCAGGAATTGGATTGTTATGATGATGTTCTAGAAGATGATGACATGATTGTCATTGAATAAATGAGTAAATTCTTGATACTGTAGGATTCACAGTTTGTCTGGTTTCTGTTGACAACTACCGTACTACCGTACTGTATACAGGTAATAAATTTCCTTTATTTTCATTTTACAATAAATGTGTACCGTAGTCTTCTTCATGGAAAAATAAGACATCCCCTGAAAATAAGACCTAGCGCATCTTTGGGAGCAAAAATTAATATAAGACACTATCTTATTTTCGGGGAAACAGGGTAGTACAAGCAGCTGAGAGTGCAAACATTGCTTTCGAACTGTGAGGAGCCGCTGGCCTCCAGGTAGTAGGAGTACAAATCACCAAGCAGGGACGGGGAGAGAGGTGCTCTACCTTTAGAGAGGCTGTGCATAAAGCTGTGCTGGGGAGGAGGCCAGAGAGACCGCTCAGGCTCCGTAAGCCAGTCCAAGAAGCTGTCTCTAGATGGGATGGGCACCTTAGAAGGGTGGTAGGTGGAGCAGTGACCTGGTGAAGAGGCCTCTCTGGCTGCTGGAGGGAGGGTAGAGAGGGAGTTGGTTGTTGTGATGTTCGGATGAGTAATAATGGAGATGTGGACAGGGCAGGTGGAGGTCACAGCGGAAGGAAGTAAAGCCATTTGTACACTTGACGGTTTGTAATGTGGCAAGTTCAGAAGGAAGGAAGGAATTGGTTACTGGTGAGAGGGTGATGCCATTGGCTGAGATGGGGAAGTGTGGGAGAGAAGCCCATTTGGAAGATTATTAACCTTGTAAACAGCTTGTGTTTTAAATTCCTAAAGTGGGACCCACTGAGTTTTCTCTCAGGAATTATGATCCTTAGCAGACTGATTGCACAGCAGAAAAAACAACTAGAGTTGAGCCAGATCGCCTGGGCCCAGAATGAGTCCTTGCCTATCTAGTGAGGAGTCTGCTGCCTGGCCATACACCCTCCCCAAGCTGCCACCTTCCTGTCCCTTCCCATCTGTGAGCCACCCTGCATACATCCTTCACTGCCATTTGCTTAGACTGCCCAGAAAAACATGAATCAGGAATACCACTAATGGCAATGAAGGCTTCAGGAACAGTAGTTTACCAGGCTGAGGAAGGGCACAGGATCCCAGGCAGAAGCTTCAGGGGAGGAAAGGCTGACTTTAGGGAATAGAGGGTATGTGGGGCTCAGGGTTCTTGGGGAGACACAGAGATCAGTTGGGCTGGAATGTGAGGGGCCTGGAGTGTCCTGCCCAGCAGAGGAAAGTGGACTGTTTCAAACACCCTGTAGGACCCAGGCCCAGGGTGGGCTCTCAGGGAGCCCAGGGATGCCAGTCTGGTCTGCCCATGCCCTTGTGCTTCTGAAACTGGTAACTGTCCACCTAGTGTTTCCTTTATATCCCACACACACAGCTAGACTGCATTTCCCAGCCTCCCTTGCAATGTGAGTCCTGGTTAGAGGGATGTTAATGGAAGGGCTTTGGGTCACCCAGGCCAGGTCCATAAAAGCCTCCCATGAGTGACCCTTTATCTTGCCCCATGTATCCTCTAGGTTGAGCCCAAGGCAACTTGGGAGTGACCTGAAAAAATCAGGGAGACCTCTGTCAGCAAATGCCTTTGAATAATGTCTGGAACAGAGTCTGTCTCAGCCATCTGAGCAGGAATTAAACTGCTATTGAGATTTCAGGGTGTATCTGTTGTGACTAACCTTAACTAGTACAGATCTGCAAAACCATGGGGCACAAGGAGCTTGTTTGGGTCTGACGGGTGGTCACCAGAGGTTTATACCCTGGTTGTGCACAGTGGTTGACCTTATTTTAACTAAGAACAGGTCAGATAACGTTGGCTGAATTTCAACATTAATTAAAAGCCAGCTGATAAAAACTCTGCTCACTGCTGCTCTCCCAGGGCTGGGCAAACTGATGTGCCCAGAGCCCGCCCAAATGGACACTTCCACAGGCACCTGACAGGCAGGGCTCTGGGAAGAAAGCTCTGCTATGAAATGTCACATTTTGTAGGCACAGGTGTACTCTCATAAGCCTCTCAGGGAGACTCCAAAGAGGTTAGGAGCCTCTTCCCTGGGGTCCTCTCATGTGCTTTCAGGGTTTTAACTTCCTTCAAAGCTGTTATCAGGAGCCTAGATCTTTGCTTTTTAAAATATTTTATTTATTTATTTTTAATTGTGACCTGAGGATTTTTCCCCCATTGATTTTTTAGAGAAAGAAATAAAAGGGAGGGAGGAGAGGGGAGAGAAAAACATTGATGTGAAGGACCAGGGTTGGGATCAAACCTGTAACTGAGGTACATGCCCTTAACCAGGAATTGAGAAACCCTTTAGTCTTTGGGCCAATGCTCTAACCACTGGGAAACTGCCCAGGGTGATTTCCTTAGCTTTTACTTTATATATATATATATATATATTTTAAATATATTTTATTGATTTTTTACAGAGAGGAAGGGAGAGAGATAGAGAGCTAGAAAAGTCGATGAGAGAGAAACATCGACCAGCTGCCTCTTGCACACCCCCTACCGGGGATGTGCCCGCAACCCAGGTACATGCCCTTGACCGGAATCGAACCTGGGACCTTTCAGTCCGCAGGCCGATGCTCTACCACTGAGCCAAACCGGCTTCGGCAGCTTTTACTTTATATTTTAAAGAATCTATGAATATTTATTATATATATATATATGTATATATGTATATATATATATTATTGATTTTTTTTTTTTACAGAGGAAGAGAGAGGGATAGAGAGTTAAAAACATCAGTGAGAAAGAAACATTGATCAGCTGACTCCTGCACGCACATCCTCTACTGGGGATGTGCCTGCAACCACGGTACATGCCCTTGATCGAATCGAACCTTGGACTCTTCCACAGGCCAATGCTCTATCCACTGAGCCAAACTAGTTAGGGCTGTTCTTATAGACATGTCAAACTCAACATTTAAAGAAACCTCATTTAATCATCCAATTACCCAAAAGAGAAAACATAAATTATCGTCAATGTCTCCGTCGGGTTTATCAGTCCTGCCTTTGACAGTTTATCTTCCTGATCCTCAGTTCCTTAGTTTGAGTTCTGTCATTTCTCCCAACTCTGCCGCCACCATGAGTGGTACCTTATGAAAGCCCTTGCTTCTTATCCTTGCTGTACCCCACTTTGTTCTAGTATCCCCATTAGTCAGAGAGATTCACAGTAAAACTTAGGACCGATTAGGTCACCTCTGCTCAAACCCGAGATGCTTCCCCCATCTTCAGGGGAGCTGGAGTCCAGCCTATGAGCCCCTGTGTGCCCGATTCCACCTGTCCCCTCCCTAACTCTACACCAGCTGCAGACTCCAGCATTGCCTCTCCATTGCAGTTGGCACCACCTACCTGGGAGCTCTGGCTCCTGCTGGCCCCGCAGCCAGGAGTCTCTGCCCTCAGCACCTACCTGGCTTGTGCCCTCATCTCCTTGCTTTGCCACTTTGTCTGAAGTTGTCCCCCTCTCCCATTGCTCCCATCCTCTTACTTTTCTCCTTAGCACTTATTGCTGACTTGCTATGTACTAGTAACTTATCCTTCTTGGTGACTGCATGTCTCCTTATTAGACTAAACCCCACTGGGAGGGGTACTTTCTGTATTTTGCTCACTGCTGTCGCTCAGTTCCTGGCACACTGTGGTACTCAGCAAGCACCTGCTAAATGAATTATTCCAAAAGCCTCCTGGTCTCCCTGCCAGCCACTCCATC